TCGCTTCTCCAAGCCCTCCTGTCAACAGGAGCTCAGCTCCCCTTGCAGGTTCTGCACCAAGAAGGTCTGGGGAGATTGAAAGCCGGGAGGTTTTATACTGGTTCCTCATCAGATGATGAAGGCAAGGGTAGAAAACAGCAAGGGAATTGTGCTCTGGTTTGTACGCACCCGTGGGTTGCCATCTAGTGCCTGTGGGCATGGAGGACAGCAGCTTCTCTGCAGGTCCTGGGTGGGAGCTCAGGCTGTGGGAGACAGAGGGTGGGAGTCAAGGTCTTGGGACCCCTTGCAAAGCGTGTGAGGTGTGGTTCAGTGACAAAATGTCAGGGTATAGACATAGCTTGGGTTAATTATAACCTCAAGGGTTTGGAGCGTCTCTGAAGCAGCCTCGCCTGGGAACTGAGCCCCAGCTTTCTCCTTTGAAGCCCACTGGTGGAGCAAAGCAACCCAGTCCCTTGAGCAAATCCGAGGGTTGAGGGTCATCACTTATTACTTTATGGGGGACGGTTCCTCCTGGCCCTTCCTGGACAAAACCCACTGGCCACAGTGCCAGGCGTCCTGCGCCCCTGAGTCCCCGCTGGATCACCCTTGCTCACCAGGAGCTCCTTCCCCGTGTGTGCCGCTCAGTAGGCAGTGACATCTAGTGTCAGTCCAACAGACGGTGTAAAAGCAGCGCTGCTTGGGGAATTCCTGCCCCTGTTTGCATTTTACCTGTTTGCTGAGGCCAGTGGGAGCAGCTCTGCCACCACGCATCTTCCTGCAGCAGGTACCAGCTCATGGTCATCCCTGGTCCTGCTCTCGGCTAGGAACGGAGCTGGCTGACCTCGGGGAGTCGAGGAGTTGGGGTCTTAGCCTTCACTGTAGTTTAAAAGCTTTCTCTGAGATGAAGTGGAAATGCTGATAAGGGGTGTTTGTAAAGGGCTGGGGAAGGCTCAGGACCAACCCCTCCATGCCTGGCACTGTGGCAGAGGGAAAAGAGCAGACCTGCCCTGCTGGAGATGGTCACTTCCTACGTGGGAAGTAGGAGGATGGGAGAGATGGAGAGAAAGCTGCAGGGCGCTGCAGGGAAGGCATCCGGGCTCGGGGCCGGCTCTCCCCGCACCTTGTGTGGCTCTGCTGGCTCTGCCACCTGTGATGCCAGGAGCTTCGCCCTGCCCTGTGCACGCTCTTCTCTGTGCAGCCAAGCAGCGCTTTGGAAGAGGCTTTCTGAAATGCCAAAGCCCTGGTTTTGTAGCAGCAGAATGGTTTGGTTTGGAGGTCTTTCTTGTCTGGGCAAGGAGCAAGAAGGCGTCGGAGCTGAAACACCATTTCCTTCTGTCTTGGGCGTGAGGTGCTGCCTAAAAACTAAATGGGTTATTTCCAGGTATTTCAAAGAAGAGAAGTAGTTTTACTGGTCTCCCTGTAAGGTAACTGGTTGGTGGTCTGGCCCTTTCCAAAAGTGGTCAAGTAATGGGAGGAGGTACAGAGGCAGAGGAGTAGGATTTGTAGAAAATACTGCTGGAGAAGTGGAGCAGGAGCCTCCCTGAGGCTCTGACCTGGCTGGCAGCAGCTGGGGCCCCAGTCCATGGGTGTTTGTCCTGCAAGTGGGAGCTGGAAGTGGGTTTGGAGGTGGCTTTCACACCCCCCGTGCGGGACATGAGCCCCATCTGCTCTGTGGCACCGCAGCAGTGGGTGCTCTGTATTCTTTAACTGCTGTCCCAGCTACCCTGAGACGAAAGAACACCGGCCTGGTCAGATATCTTTGCTAGCATCCTTTTTTTTTTTTCAGTGTATTTGTTGAGCTTTCATTTTGCACATTTCTTGGACTTCTTTATTGGTGTTGCTGGTGAACTCTTCTGAATCCACTCAGCTTGGCAAAGAAATCCTGGACAGCAAAATCAGGGAAAATAAACTCAAGCCTTTTAAAGAGACATCCATCCCTGTTAACTTCTCCCCAGAGTTTCCTGGAATAATGTGTAATTTTCCTGTCAGTTTGGCAGAATTCTTTTCATTCGGATAAATTAATTTTAAATGTCAGATCAAAATAAGAATTAATCGATTAGGGGATAAAAATAAGAGGTGAGACAGCAAGGAGAGATTATGGTAGGGAAAAAAAAGGTGAGAAAGGTGGTGGGTAGGAGAATGTCTCTGTGGCCACGGCACGGCTGCTTCTGCGGTGACTCCAGCCCTGCCACCTCCCTGGAGCTCAGCCAGGAATCCCTGAAGGATAATAACCATTGCACGGGCTTGGAATAAGGATTTTGATCCTGCTAAAAGAAGGCTTTGGCCAAAGGAGAGATTCATCTGAAACCAAAGAGGGAGGTTTATTGGGAAGGAATGGAGACGGATCCGCAAACCGTGCGCTTCTTAGCTGAGTGACATTTTAAAATTGAAAAAGAGGACATGGGGTGAAAGGAGATAGCTGGACTGGAGGGCAGGAACACTTCAGCTTTGGATGAGTTGAAGGCTGTTGGTGTTACAGGGAGCGATTAGAGATTTTTTAAAACCGTGTTCCTTATATAAAGACAGTCAAACCTGATTTTAAACAGCGAATATTCTTTGTTACTTCTTCTGTCCTTTTAAGCTTTTCCACAAAGAGACAAAAAGATCTTTAAAAAGTAAAAGTCGAATGCATCAATCGTGTAATTGATGATCAGTTCTTTGGCACTAGAAATGGCCTTGGAAGTTCCTTGTAATTTTTTCTCTAAGTTAATTGCTACTTTAGTCTAAATTATTTCTTAATTACTTCTTTGAACATAGATTAGACTTGAGGTTTTTTTAATAGGATACATCACGTTTAGTAATACATTAGTCATGCCTGTAATTACTCTAGATATGCTGCAGGATGGTGTGCATCTAATGATAGTCCTAATCTGTATCTACACATCATACAGAGCTTTGAGCAAAGAATACTTTATAGCTGGGAAAGGCGTTTTCTTTGGCTGGGAGAAGTGCTCTGCTTTAATACACCAAAACTTTCTAGTCTGGAGTCTGGCTGGGCTTTGGAGAGGGGCTCTTCTAAGGTCTACTAGTGGAGCAGTGACAAACCGAAGCTGAACGAAAGCTGAAAATTGCGTTTTCTTTCTCTAGGGATCTTTCCAATAACAAGATCAGTGGTTTAGATGTTCAGCTATTCGAAAGCCTGACTTCTCTGGCAAAACTGTAAGTACACACTGTGCCCTTCCAGTCCTCCGCTTTGCACCTTTGAGCTGGCGTCTAGAATACATGCTTGTGCTTCACAGGTCAGCCTTGGTCTTGCTTGACCTCATCTGTTGAGCCCCAGATAGATCACAGAATCGTTCAGGATGGAAAAGCCCTTTAAGATCACCAAGCCCAACCGTTACCCTAACCCTGCCATCCCACCACTAAACCCTGGCCCTAAGCACCTCGCCTGCCCAGCTTTTAAATACCTCCAGGGATGGAGACTCGACCCCTTCCCTGGGAAGCCCCCTCCAGTGCTTGACAGCCCTTGTGGGGAGAG